AGATGTGAAAAAGGAGACTCAATCCCCTCAAAAACTCTCCTATTTCTCTCCCCCCAAACTATCCACATGAGAGCTAACGGGGCGAACTTCCACGCCTTTTGCTTTCTTCTTCTACAGAAACCGGCCCAGCTATATAGCATCTCCTTTACAGTGCTTAGCATCACCTATTGAACACCAAAAAAATTCAGGATTGCCCTCCACAAAGCCGAGGACACAGGGGGCAATGCAACAAAAGATGATCAACTTCTTCCCCTGAGCTTTTACCCATGTAGCACCAACTAGATGGCCGGGGTCTGTCTTGCCCATATAGCAGTGTCAACAAATCTTGGAGCTCTGCAATCTCCCAATCTTGCATGTTCCTTCTAAATGAGAGGTCCCATACTACCCCCCTCCATGTTCCTTTCGAATCTGTTGGACCATCAATTCCTTCTGGTTTGAAACTCTGAAGACGTGAGGGAAGGAGACCCTTAGAGTATCCTCTCCACACCACCTATGATTCCAAAAGCTGATTCTCCTCCCATCTCCTACCCTGTAAGTGATGTTGCCACTGAATGCTTCCCAATTCTTCATGATGATCCTCCACATGCCACACCCGAAAGGTGTTGTGATTGCCTTGGCCTCCAACCCCCTCCCGTGGAATCGTACTTTTCTACTATGACCTCCCTCCATAGGGCATGCTCTTCTACCCCGAATCTCCACAGCCACTTCCCAATAAAGCTCTGTTGAATACCCTAAGATCTTTTACTCCAAGTCCACCCCACTTCTTTGGGGAAGTGACTGTCTGCCAATTCACTAGATGAAACTTTTTCTATTTCCATCCGCCGCATCCCAAAGAAAGTTCCTTTGAAGCCGCACCAGTTTTTCTGTGATGCTCACCGGTGCTTGCAACAGGGACAAGTAATAGGTGGGCATATTCGATAAAGTGCTTTTAATAAGCACTTCCTTACCGCCTTTTGACAAATACCGTTTCTGCCAGCCTGCTAATCTTTTTTCAACCTTTTCGATCACTGGATTCCAAACCGTAGTATCCTTATGCGACGCGCCCAATGGGAGACCCAGGTAAAGTAGAGGGGAGAGAGTCCACCTTACATCCGAGAACACAAGACAAAGCATCAATATTAGCAACCTCACCCACCGGGAAAATCTCACACTTGCCGAGGTTGATTTTGAGTCCTGATACTATCTGAAACCACTGCAGGACCTGCTTCAGGTAGGTCAACTGATCCATATCGGCATCACAGAAAACCAGGGTGTCATCCGCAAAGAGCAAATGAGAGACTCTTCGGGCACTGAGCACCCCGATCGGAGCTGAGAATCCTCTCAAGAAGCCTCCGCCCGCCGCACGATCCATCATTTTACTCAGAGCATCCATCACTAGAATGAATAGCATGGGGGATAGAGGGTCACCTTGTCTGAGACCCCTAGAGCTGCCAAAGAAACCACACGGGCTGCCATTAACCAAGACAGAGAATCCGACCGAGGAAATGCAGAACTTGATCCATCCCCTCCATCTTGCCCCAAACCCCATCCGCATCATAATAAAGGAACTCCCAATTGACATAGTCGAAAGCCTTCTCAAGGTCCAACTTGCATAGTAAGTCGGGTTCTCTATTTTTCCTTCTGGAGTCTACAAGTTCATTTTCCACCAAAGCAGCATCCAGGATCTGCCTACCTTCCACAAATGCATTCTGGGAGGAAGAAACAGTCACATCAAGAACCTTCTTAAGTCTGTTGGAAAGCACTTTGGAAATAATTTTGTAGATGCTTCCCACGAGACTAATAGACATGTAGTCTCTAATACAATATGCACCTTCTTTCTTAGGCACAATAGTAATAAAAGAAGCATTGATACTTCTCTCGAAAACACCATTCGCATGGAAGCATTCAATGGCTTCCATCAACTCCCCTTTGATGGTGTCCCAACAGAGTTGGAAGAAGGCCATGGAAAAACCATCAGGCCCGGGGGCCTTATCACCGGCACAACTCGACACAGCCTTGTGCACCTCCTCCTCCTCAAAAGCCCTTTCTAACCACTCACTATCTCCCTCCCCTATGTGGTTGAACTTTATTCCCCCCAAAGTCGGCCTCCAATTAACTTCCTCTTTGTATAAGTTCTCATAAAACCTCACTATCGCCCCTTTTATCTCCTTCTCTCCCTCAATCCTCACCCCATCCACAACTAAGGACTCTATGAAGTTTCTCCTTCGATTTGCAACCGCCACCCTGTGGAAAAACTTGGTATTCGAATCCCCCTCCTTTAACCAAAGCGCCCTCGATTTTTGCCGCCAACTAGTCTCCTGAGCTATTGCTAACTCGACTATTTCCCTCTTAACCTCCCCCAATCTCGCTTTCTCAGATTCATGTAACTCCCTCGCCCCTTCCCCTCTTTCTAATTCCCCCAATTCATGCATAAGCTCCCTCATTTTAACCTCTACCCTCCCAAAAACCTCCTTATTCCACCTAATAATATCTCCATTGAGTAATTTGAGTTTCTTCATAAGACAGAACGAAGGTGTCCCTGATACCCCGTAGCTTGTCCACCATTCTTTCACCTTGTCACTGAATCCTCGCACTTTCAACCACATGTTCTCGAATCGGAAGGGAGCACGTACCCCCTCCCTCTGCATCCATCAAGCAAAATAGGCAATGATCCGAAGTCAGCCTAGGTAAAGGAATCTGCAGCACATTCGGCACTGACTCATCCCATGAGGGCGATATCAGGAATCTATCAAGTCTAGACCTTGAGTTGGAATCCTCCGCCCTGGCCCAAGTAAACCTTTCCCCTGACAGAGGAAGGTCAACGAGAAAGTGATCATTGATGAAGTCAGAAAATTCTTCCATGGCCCTTGAAATCAGATTACACCCTAATCTCTCCTCCGGGAATCTAATAGTGTTAAAGTCTCCCCCTAAAACCCATGGAATGTCCCATTCCCCATCACAGTGGCCAGTTCCTCCCAGAAAGACACCTTGGACCCTTCTCCTACCCGGTCCGTACACTCCCCCAAATCCCCACTCCACCCCACTTACTCTATCTTTGACAAGAGCTGCTAAAGAAAAAGCTCCCTTCTTAATCTCCTTTACCTCCAAGCTCCTATCATCCCACATTAAAAGAATGCCTCCGGCACTTCCCACTGCTGGGACCCAATCATATTTTACCCAACTACCTCCCCAGACACTCCTCACAATCACATCCGACAAGACTTCCATTTTTGTCTCCTGAAAACAAACTAGATTAGCACCCCACTCTCTAACTCCCACTTTGATGATGGCCCTTTTGTTTGGCTCATTCATCCCCTCACATTCCATGAAAGAATCTTAACTTCTATAAGAAACAATACCCCCTCCCCCCCCCCACCCCTAGCCGAGCTCCCCACCTCCTTGTCACACACCCGACCCCTTCTCTGGTACACCACTATATTCCCTAAATTATTTTGCTTAACACCTTGACCCAACTCACCATCATAAAGGGATTACTTGGCTAACTACTGAAACAAAATTCAGCGTCCATGTATAGCCAAACTCTTTATAGACTTATCAGGATCCACATTAATCCAGCGTAGGCTAAAAGAGGATCAAAGTTTATTCTCTGTGTATTCTATGCTCAGCAACAATTTTAGCTTAGCAGTAGCATAATCTGGTTCAACCGTAAGATGTAGGAGGGAAGGAAAAGAAAGAGGTAAGTGCGAAGACCTAATTTAAAACAAATAATTGAGTTCTACATAGAATCAATAGGCAGGAACAATCCAGCCAACTTACCGAGGAACAAGACTTGGCGGAACATGATCCCTGCATGTAGTTGGTGGATAATTTGGAACGAGAGGAACTTAAGATGCTTTGAAGGGATAGTCAACTCTGAACAGAAGATCATTATGAATGATATATTTTTGTTTCATATTTGGTGCAAAGAAGCACTAGAAGAAGATGTAGATTCAGTAGTTGACATCTTGGGGTATTTGTAACTAGCACAGGACTAACTTTTTATTCTTTTTTGGGGTCCTGGTAACTCAGGTTACACTTAGCACAGTCTTTGTGCTAAGGACTGCTTTCATTGTTAATAATATAAATGTTATCTTGTTCAAGATAAAAGGCAGGAAGAAGGTTTGCTCATATCCATTCTTGAAGTTTAAAACAATGCCTTAAAGACACTCTAAGAAGTTCCGGACTTTGAATTTGAAACCTATTTACACTATTTAAAAGCCTTCATTAGCTTTTTTTTTTTAAAGAACATGTATAGATCATAAAAGAACAAACAAATTCACCTCGGAATCCCCAAAACAGTGAAAGTAAAAGCACCAGCAAATACACATCACCATTTTCTTTTTTAAAAGAAAGAGTTCATTTGACAAGCCAAAGACTTCTACAAGAAATTATAACTGGAGAAGTCTAAATAAAAAAGTAGAAAATATTAATTTAAAAAGACAGTACTGCAAGAGGTGGTAATTCCAACATAAAGATTGAGAAGAAGACATCAATAAGATGAACGCTTTGGACTCTCAAAAAAAAAGGACAAACATCACAAGACCCCTTTTCTCTTGCCGAACAAGAGGTTATAAAGTCTCTCTTAACCCATACAAACTAAAGAGGCATGTAACATACTCCCAAATATGCATTGACAACTTGATAAATATTTGTAATTCTTAAACTCACACTTTTTAGCAATTTAACATTAACATTCTACACTCTCTGACGGAAGTTTTCAGTTGGTGATGGTTATATAGATCACAGAGCCACCAACTTTGTAAAATAAAATTAAGCTTAACGGAAGATAAGTAAATACAGCTTTTTCAGTTCTTGCAAAAACATTTTCTTTTCTCGGTTAAAAGACAACAGCTTTTAAAATTCAGAGTAATTCAAAGTTGATTGTAGTATTAGCACTGCAAAAATGCGAGCTCAAGAAAAGACCAGATAACTCTAATGAAGACATAGGTGAAAACATAAGCACTTGCAACATCCCCACTTCACTATAAATAAATATAAAATTAAAAAAAGGATGTACTCACAACATCTCCACTCCATCTAGCAGCAACATCTAGAGCTTCACCCAACAAGCCGCTGAATTTTGGCCGGAGTACTGACAACTCCCCATGACCTCTTCTTTTCTGAAAGTTGAGTTGGATTTCTGCCTGAGAGTAACAGTAAAACTTTACAATGTAACTATTTGCTAAATTGCGGATCCTCTCAAACAATACTCCACTCACTGCTTTATTACTTGAAAAAACTAGTGTGCTTACTAGTGTAAGTCAATTGCATCATTCTATTAGCATTAGATCATTTCGGTGTATACAGTGTACAAAACCTAGAGGGGAAAAGAAAAACAATTGATGGGGAAATGTTGGAAAGAATGGTTTCGGATAAAAAATCTTTTGATATTCTAATAAAGGGACTTTCTGAATCACTTCCAAGTACTGATGGTAAGAACACCTGATCCAGGAGATGAGAAACAGCGAGCAGAAAAGCCAGATAAACATAAACTCTATTTGAACCTCAACACCTAAGGCATGACGTGACTTATTTTCACGCAAAACTTCAGTAGTTTAGTTTCAATAGTTTCTTTTTACCTTTTATCAAAAGAGAAAACAGAAGCTTTTATAACCCTGTTCTTTTTGAGAGTTGTGAAGGATGCTGATTCAAAGATTCCTTAATATGCAAGTATGACAACCAAAACTCTTGACCAGGCAGTCATTCAAAGAACAAATTATTTCAGTTGGATGACAGATTACCCTTTGAATCGTTCCACGAAGCGAAGCCAGCTCCAATTCATCCAAAGGCAAATGTCGCACCTGGTATGCAGGTAAAGGCAGTATAAGTCATTTAATCAAGCATCTTTATGATCATTAAAGACATGGAATAAATAGAAATACCTCTAGATTAGCTGAGTGCAGTGGCAGATAGCACATGTTAGCTTTTAAGTGTCCCTTCTGGAAGGAAAATGAGAACATTTTTCCAATCATATTCTCTTCAGAAAGAGGATGAAATGGTCCTCTGACCTCCAGATTTAGACTTTCATCTGGTCTACCCATGGCATCCAACTGTATAGAAAATAGAATCAAAATTTATACACTACAAAATTTATCTAATGGGAATAAATAATTAGAATATGTAACGAAAATGGACCTTGGCATAACTAAACTCCATAAGCTAGCTCATGAGGTGAGGATTGCCCAAAACCATAAAGGGAGATACCGGTCCATTCCCTCAATAAATGTGGGATATTCTAAGAGAATTAAAGCAACCTAAGAGGCACTAAACAAACCTCGTTCCATACAAAAAAAGGCAATGATTAAAAAAGACTAGAACCTAAGTATTGGCATTCTGACTAATCTCATGTATTTACAGTAGACATTACTCACTTTCTTCAGGCACTTGCTCATGATTAGCCACCAATTGCTTGCGGTTATGAGCAAGGTGGGTTCTCTACCCACTAAACACTTGGGATTGCCCTTGGGTGCTTTGCAATTCATAAGGATCTTGCAATGTGGAATCCGGTTATAGGAAAGGCTGAAGGGGACTAACAGGTTGGCAAAAGCGGTACTTGTCGAAGGGTGGGAAAGAGTACTCATAAAAAGCACTTTATCGAGCATTCCCACCTACTATTTGTCTTTGTTGCAAGCGCCAGCGAGACTCGCAGAAAATTGGAAAAGATCCAAAGAAATTTCCTATGGGATGCGGCTGATGGCACTAGAAAGATACATTTGGTAAATTAGAAAGCTGGTACAGCACCAAAGAAGTGGGGTTGTCTAGGGGTGAAAGATCTGAGGGTGTTCAATAGAGCATTACTGGGAAAGTAGCTATGGAGATTTGGGGTGGAGGAGCATGCCTTATGGAGGGAGGTAGTAGTTAGAGAAATTTGGTTCTATGGCGGGGGGTTGGAGGACTAAGACCATTACAGTTCCATTTGGGTGTAGTATGTGGCAGTCTTGTCAAAGGCGAAAAACTCTAAAAAGCGTTCCATATGTATTGGGGCTTTAAGCGCAAAGCGTAATTTAAGTGTGTGTTTTAGTTAAAAAAAAAAGGTGGATGAAGGAAAAAAATAAAAATAGATATGTACTTTAAGGAAAAAGTAAGGAGTTCATTCATAATGTTTTCCTTAATAACAAATACACTTATTTGCCAATTATATTTGTTGTTCACTACCGTCCGATTCAAGATAGAATTCATGGGCAATAAGTGTTCATGCCTTAGTGCCTTGCATACACTAAAGCGCAGCTTAAGCGAGGGGAAGCACCCTCTATGAGCTTTTTTGAGCTTCAGGGTTTAAGCGCGCCTTAAATGAGCCTTTGACAAAACTGGTATGTGGAGGAGCATAATAAAGGGTGGGAAGGCTTCAACTGTCACACCTTTAAGGTCAGGGACGACAGAAGAATTAGCTTTTGGAACCACAAGTGATGCGGGGAGGATACCTTGAGGACCTCATTCTCTAATATGTACACAGTTTCAAATCGTACACAATTGACAATCCACCAGATTCGTAGGGAGCATGAACGGGAAGTTCTATGGGACCTCACGTTTAGGAGAAATATGCAAGAGTGGAGATTGGGGAGTTTCAAGGGTTGATGGAGCTACTCTACAGGCAAATCAGGCCCCATTTAATTAGTGACTCATGTAGATGGGCGTTGAGGAGTGATGGTCTAATCATTGTCAAATCTTTCTACCAAAGTTTGCTGGTGAGGGAGGAAACACACTTTCCACATCTATCGATTTGGATTCCTAGGGCGCCTAGGAAAGTATGCTTGTTTGCATGGTTGGCAGTAAGGGGAACAATTCTGACAGCTGAGAATTTGAGAAAGAGAAGTATTATCCATATTAGCTGGTGCTATGTGTAAATGTTCGGGCGAAGAAGTTGAACGTCTATTAGTGCATTGTGTAGTAGCATCGGGATTGTGGAGGGTAGTTTTGAACTTCTTTGTTGTTCCATGGGTTATGCCAGGTACTATTAGAGACTTATTGCACAGCTGGGATAGTAGACGTAGGAGAAGAAGACAAAAGGCATGGGACGTTGCTCAATTAGCTTTTATGTGGGTCAGAGAAAGAAATAGGAGAGCTTTTGAGGGGATTGAAAATAATTTTGTACACATGAGGAATAGCCTTTTGTCTTTGATTGCTTTTTGATGCACCCATGAAATCCCTACTTGTTTAGATGATTGGGTGTCTTTCGTAGAGAATCATGTTTTGTTGTAGATTCTCTACTTTTTGGTATACCTCTTGTATACGGGATTTTTCCCATTGCTAATAATGTCTTTTACCTTATAAAAAAAATGTATGCCGTATCATCCTTCCATAGAGATAGAGAACCAAGATACTAAATCACGCCAAGCCGACGAGTCAGAAACCTTTAAACAGAATCCCGACAGACCACAAAACCTTGGGACAAAAATAAAAAAGGATAGGCATATAGAAAGATTTGCAAGTTTCTGTAATTAATTTCCTATTAGGATGGATGCATTCTCTTTTCCAACCAACAACTCAGGTGTTCGGAAGATAACAAAGAAGATTCCATTGATTCTTCAGATGAAGACAACCTTGTCCACCAATATTTTAGGTAGGCAGGAATTTATGCAAGAGCTGAGGACTAAGTTGTAGCAAGGAATATGCAAATGCTGTTTCAAACATAAACTTGTGGTATACAAAAATATGAAACAAACTAGTGGGGCATACCTTAAGACCCTGCTGTGTGATGCTCAATGCTCCAGCCATCTGAGGTGCCAGCATCAATTGATTGAGTTTGAGTCCAGAGATTGAAACTTCACCAGAAAGAGTATCTGTAGCGTCATTACATTCAACTGGCACATCTTCTGATCTCTTTTCAGAATGCACAAAATGCTGGTCAGCAATGCTGGAAGCTTTAACAACCTTTCCTTGAAACTTAATCCTTCCAGTTGCTTTCAGGTGAACAGGTTTTGGAGAATCCAAAGCATATGAAGAGACTGAACTGAAAAATTCAAAACTGCGCATTCTCAAATCCAGTTCAACTCCTTCCACAGTAAAGGGCAGGGGAGCATTCTCGTGATAATCTCTCAGGTTTAAACAGTAATCATCACGATAGGAGGTCAGAACTTTTGAATACAAGTCAAAAGCAACTGATGAAGAATTAACAGTTATGTGATCAGGTGAAATTATGATATCTCCACGAGCATCTGTGAGTGATCCTTCAGCTTTGGGCGCCGTCCATTTGATATCAAACCGTCTGCAACCAGAAAATTGGTCTATCAGCAATGTCATGATAAATTTTTATCAAACTACTTGAAATACATCCTTCTTAAAAAACATAAAAGCATCAAATAGGGGGAAATTACTTGCCCTTTTTCCAAGAAAAGAAAATTTTATTAAGCAAGGAGGTTAAACAGAAAACTAAGGTATCTTCATCCCTGAAAAACGTCCACATCAGATAAACAGAGCCAGGAGCCTTCAGCTCTCATGCGAAGATCACAAGCGGTAAAACATGAAAAGAGCCTATTGCCTTCTTTTAGGACAGTAAGACCCGACCACAAGAAGCAGGAAGATCACTCTATCTCAAACATGATTTATCCTGAGAAATCAATCTTTGGTAACAATGATGCAGTCCGAGAAACTAATGGGAAATGCTAGCATTACATTCTACCAATGACATAATAGGAAGTGAAACACCTTGCTAGACAATCTTTCCTCTCTTCACAACCAATAGACCCAATATTAACATTGAAAAATTTACAGACTGAATGTGAAATCACAAAAGATTCAGCAAACCGCCCAAATCATCTCCACCGCAAATCTCTTGCAAACGAGCAACAGAGAGAAGATCTAGTTGTTCTTGCACATAATGCACCAAACTTGACTTATGGTTTTCTAGAGTGTTCTCAACTGTAAAATTCTATTGGTGCTATGGAGCACAGACCAATCAAAAGCATTGGCTCAAAGTCAGGAAAATAAAAGAGGCCTGAGGGGGACTCCTTGAGGGTTGTCGGTGCCCGCGAGGATGGACAAAGATTTTTATCTGAAGGTCACAGCTGAATCTAGATACCAGATGTGTTATGAATACGAAATATTACCATTCAGAAAGTAGATACAGAACTGTCTATAAAGACATATGACACCAACATTAAGAAAGATGTGACTAAAAATCTTACGGTTTCAATAAAGACCCAGAAATCTTCGTATCTCCATTTAAATGACCCAACTTAAGAGGCATCAGCTGAAGGAAACCAGGTAGATAGCGATCCATGGTCTTATCAAAGCTTAAATTACCAGAGAAGTTCACATCCATTGCCGTGTCATCAACCTCTCCCTGCAAAATTGAAAATGTCAACACCAACGCTATGGACATGATCAAATTTGAGAAGTTGGACATTTAAGGTAATTTACTGCTCCTTAAGATTTAATATGGTGTCACAAAGTCAGCAAAAAGTCAAAAACATGTTTTGTGTTGTATAATTTGAATGGAAAAAAAAGGCCCTACTTTGAGCTTGTCTTCCTGTGCAATTATCAGGAAACTACTATCCAGATATTAAATTATTTGAACTTATATTCTTCAAAAGTTAATCCGAAGAACCAAAAGTTTTGGCCTGTGTAAACACAAAGTAGGGTGAAAAGACGAGAGATCCTTTTTTTGTTGGGCAAGATGAACAAAAAGCAAAAAAGAGATACTTCTCAAATACAACCATGATGAGATAACTTGTTCAATTCAATTGAGGATGTTAAAAAGAGTTGATCATCAAACATTGACTCCGAAGCAGTAGACATATTGCTCAATAGCGTCCTGTAAGAGGAGGGGCACATATGCTCCGGTGAGGAGGTGCTAGAGGTGGCAGTGATAGGTCTAAAGAGAGGTAGAGGTAGACCGAGGAAGAATTAGGGAGATGATTAGACAGGACAGGACACGTCTTTGGCTCACCGAAGACATGACCCTATATAGGAGAGCATCGAGGTCGAGGATTAGGGTAGAAGATTAGCAGGTAGTCGAGCGATTAGGGTAAAATCTTAGTAGGTAGTTGAGTGATTCCTCTCCTTTAAGGTAGAAGGTTAGAGCGACTCCTCTCCTTAGTATGTTAGATGATCCTCTTCTCCTTACCAGTATTATTGTTATTATGCTATATTTATCTTGCTCTTCAATTTTATGACTACGGAACGAGTGTCTATTGGAAACAACTTCTCTACCCCACAAAAGCAGGGTTAAGGTCTGTGTGCACCCCACTCTCCCAGACCCCACTCGTGAGATCACACTAGGTAAGTTGTTTTTGTTGTTGTACTCAATAGCGCCCTCTCAACTTAGATAATTCTTATATATCAAGATAACTTGGTTAATTAATTATCATCCAAGAAAGACAGATTCATACATACACATATTTACATCTCTCACAAAATATGTATGAAGATTGATTTCTCGTCTTTCATGGATTATCCAGCTTTAAGAAGATATATGCTACTAGTTCTCAATTTTACTTTATATAATTAATGTTACCCTTTAGACCACTATAAATTCTAGTTGGTCAGGCTTCTGAGGGAACTTCTTCTTATTTTTTTGGATAAGGTAAATAATTTTTTAACAATCGGGGACTAATCCTACATACAAGCCGTATACCAAAAAAAAAAGAGAACCTACACCAAAATATAGTTCTCAACAAAAGAGATCGAATCCTATAGAAATAGGGACCTCATGAGTACACCAAAAAGATACTAGGAACAAGAAACTACTTTGCAACTTCATAAAATCTTGTTCTACCCCTTCAAAAGCCCTCCTATTTCTCTCTTTCCATATCACCCACAGGATTGCCAAGGGAGCGACACTCCATGCCCTTGGACTTCTCTTACCACTCATGTGAACCCAACTATGCAACGCCTCCTTCACTGTACCCGGCATCGCCCATTGCACCCCAAACAAATTAAGAATCACTCTCCACAACCGACTAGCCACTTTACAATGCAATAGGAGATGATCTACATCTTCGCCCGAGCTTTTGCACATGAAGCACCAACTAACATAGGTAAGCCTTCTCTTTCTCAGATTTTCCACTATCAAAATCGCTCCCCTCGCCGCCAACCACACAAAGAAACACACCTTTCTTGGTGCTCTGGAATCCAAATAGAGTAATGAGGGAAAACTTGTTCCTCCCTCATTAATAACCTCTTATAATAAGATTTAACCGTGAATAATCCATTTTTACTCTCCCGCCATCTCCATACATCCGATACATTATTGGGTGTATCCAATCCATATAATAACTCAACTAGATTGTGAAATTCTTCCATCTCCCAATCCTGTAGGTTCCTCCTAAATCTCAAATCCCAATGAAGCACCCCTCCGTGAGACCTACAAATTTGTTGGACCGTCATCCCTCTTTGGCAAGATACTCTATATAAGTTAGGGAAAGCTTCCCTCAACTCGTCCTCCCCGCACCACTTATGCACCCAAAAATTAATTCAGCTTCCATCCCCAACCTTAAAGGAAATATGGCCACTAAAATCTTCCCACCCCTTCATAATGCTCCTCCATATGCCACACCCAAACCGTACTCTAATGTTTCTAGTCCTCCACCCCCCTTCCATAATACCATATATTTTTGCTACCACCCCCCTCCAAAATGCACTCTCCTCCACCCCAACTCTCCCTATCCACTTCCCTAGCAAAGCTTTGTTGAACACTTTGAGATCTTTCACCCCGAGACCTCCCTATTCCTTTGGAGATGTGACAACTCTCCAGTTCACAAAATGATACTTTCTTGCTCCTTCAGTTGAGTCCCATGAAAAGTTCCGTTGAAGTCTTTCCAACCTCTCAGGCACTTCTCCCGGAGCGTGCAAAAGTGGCATAGAATATGTAGGTATGCTAGATAGAGTGCTTTTGATCAAAACTTCTTTCCCTCTTTTCGACAAGTACTTCTTTTGCCATCCCGCTAGCCGTTTCTCTACTCTCTCAATCATTGGATTCCACATTGCAAGATCTTTGCTTGATGCACCCAACGGTAGACCCAAATAACTAGCAGGTAAAGTACCCACAATTCAACACATGTGCAATCTCTTCAATATTATCCATTTCTCCCACCAGTGTGATCTCACATTTTCTGAGGTTGATCTTAAGGCCTGACACAATCTGGAACCATAAGAGAATATGTCTCAAATAAGCAAGCTGAGACACCTCTGCATCACAAAAAAACCAACGTATCATCTGCAAATAACAAATGTGTAACTGTCACATTGCTATGCCCGCTAAGCGAAGCATCGCCAAATTAGACCTTCAGAGACCGCCCTATCCATCATCTTACTCAATGCTTCCATCGCCAAAATAAATAACATAGGGGATAATGGATCCCCCTATCTAAAACCCCTCGAACTCCCAAAGAAACCACATGGGCTTCCATTCACCAAAATAGAGAATCTAGTAGTAGAAATGCAAAATCTGATCCATCTCTATTTGTCACATAAGATTCCCGGTTCTCCTCTCTTCTTTCTCGAATCGACCACCTCATTCGACACTAATGCTGCATATAGGATCTGTCTTCCTTCCACAAATGCATTTTGAGAAGTGGATACCGTCTCATCCAGAACCTTTTTTAGTCTATTAGAAACCGCCTTAGAAATAATCTTATAGATGCTTCCCACCAGACTAATAGGCCTATAATCTTTGATATTCGTCGCTCCTTCCTTCTTTGGCACAATGGTGACAAAAAATGCGTTAAGGCTTCTTTCAAACTCCCCAGTTTATTGAAATTCCACAATGGTCTCCATCAATTCACCTTTAACTATCCTCCAACAATGTTGGAAGAAAGCCAAAGTGAATCCATCCGGTCCCGGAGCTTTGTCACCCGCACAACTCACTACCGCTGCCCTTACCTCTTCTTCTTCCATAGCCCTCTCCAACCACTCCCTAATCCCCTCTCCTATTTGACTAAACTCTAACCCCCTAATTTAGGCCTCCAACTAGCATCTTCTTTGAACATACGTTCATAATAGCCAACAATAGCCCTTTAACTTCCTCCTCCCCCTAAAACACCACCTCATTCACTTCTATGGACTCAATAAAGTTCCTCCTCCTATTTGCTACCGCGAGCCTATGAAAAAATTTTGTATTTGAATCCCCCTCCTTCAACCAAAACGCCCTCGATTTTTGCCTCCAACGAGTCTCTTGAGCGACCGCTAAAGCGGCTAGCTCCCGCTTCGCCTCCTCTTTCCTAACTATCTCGCTCTCTTCTAAGGCCCTCAAAGCTTCCACACGCTCCATCTCCCCCACCTCATTAATTAGCTCCCTTATTTTAACTTCTACCATCCCGAACACCTCTTTATTCCACTTCCTAATATCTCTTTTAGCATTTCAACTTGCTTGCAAGTCGAAAAGATGGTGTGCCAGTCACTACATACCCATTCCACCAAACATCTACTGTATCTTCAAAATCTGAAGCCTGAAGCCACATATTCTCGAACCTGAAAGGGATACACAAACTCCTCCTTCTATTGCCATCTAGCATAATAGGCGAGTGATCCGAGGTCAATCTAGGCAATGGAACTTGTAACACATCTGGAACCATCTCCTCCCAGTCAGTAGACACCAAGAATCTATCAAGTCTAGATTTTGATGCGGAATCTTCTGCTCTGGACCATGTAACCATGTAAAGTTGCCCCTGTCAATGGAAGATCGATAAGACAATGGTTATCAATAAACTCCGAGAACTCTTCCATTGCCCTGGACATCGTCCTACACCCTACTCTTTCCTCTGGGAACCTTATCGTATTAAAATCCCCCCTAACACCCAAGGAACCTCCCACCCCGCCATTAAAGTAGACATCTCTTCCCAGAAACTCTCCTTAGATCCCTCCCCCACCGGGCCGTACACTCCCCCAAATCCCCACTATTCACACTCCCCAAGGTCTTTATACGTACTGCAATCATGAATTCCCCTTTACTTACCTCCACAACCTCCATTTTTCTTTCATCCCATAATATTATAATACCCCCTACATTCCCTGACGCCGGTACCTAATCATATTTCACCCATACCCCCCCCCCCCCCATACTAACAACCGCATCTGACACTATATCCATTTTGGACTCTTGAATACACAAAAGATCCGGACCCCATTCCCTAACCCTCGTTTTGATGATAGCCCTCTTATTTGGGTCATTCATCCCCCTCACATTCCAAGAGATGATTTTAATTTCCATGGACAACATCTATACCCTCACCACCATTCCTCTCCTCCTCCATTACCCCATTCCTCTCCCTGCTTCTATATCTCCTCTCATACATCATCCTTCTTCCTTCTTCCTTCTCCCTCATTTTCCTTCCCTAGACCCCT